TGTACCAAGTGGAAATACATTTACTGTTTTATGAATGCACAATGAACAACATAATGGCTTGTTTCAATATGAAGCTACAATAAAGATTCAAACCTCGAATAACGTTACTACTACATTCAGAAACATTTATTCATATCAATATTGACGATTTATCGGGTAAAAAGGTACGCCTATACCTACGTTTAGTTTTAAGTAATGTTTGCTGAAGGATAAGATACAAATTGTTTTTATTATCTATAACTCTAATCTCTATTCATGGACTTTTAGTATGTAATAATAAATGTACGTAGCTGCATAAATAAATATTGTGAATAACTTATGTTGATACACAAAAATATGTTATTTTTTGTTAATTAAATTTTGCAATAATTCTGTAGCATTTCATGTCGCATAACGGCGGTGAAAACGGTAATAAAAGTTTATTACACGTGTATAGGTGAGCATCAACATTGCATTAGGACAAAAATTATTTTAAATACTAATGAATGTACGATTATAGCGTAGAACTCAAAAGAACAGGAATGGAGGTATATAAAACCAGAAGAAAGTATTATAAACTTGATAATGAGTCGGAAACTTTTGCGGGCTACTTGTGGACAATATTGATACCAATACTCATAATCTTGCTTCTAATAATTTTGTGCATATTCTGTTACCGATATATGTATGGAAGAATAATTTCTAGTTGTAAAAGGTTTAATATCATTTCATTTACACACATACAGTACGTCTATATTTTTTTTTACTATATTTATGTCTATATTCAGTTATTGGTGCAATCCTAAAATTACATTAACAAAGGTGTCTTACACGGCAAAGCAAGGAAAGAAATATTGATGACAGTGTGCCCATATTGAATGAAGACAAGAACGAATTATATATGAAACCACGGTTTCTATGTCTTAACGAATGTAAAATTTCAAGGTTCAAAAGATCTAATAGTCAAAGAAATAGACAATATGAAAATAGGGATTATGAATTAAAGACTATTTTGCCGGTAACGAATTAAATTGTTTAAAATGCTATTTTCTATTATTTAAAAAATCTATTATCTTATTTCATGGAACGATACGAATATATTAACACCAAAAAATACTAAATTTTGTAAACAGGAAAAAGAAAAACTACTCGACTCTAGTGGAAATAAAATTGAAAGCATCAGTGATAACGCAGATTTGAGGAAACGATTATCATTAAAAATGTCTGTTGCATCCTTCTTATCATCTACCACGAAATGTAAGATAACAGATAATAAAACATTGAACAAATGGGATATTACAGATTTAGAACAGAATAAAGACAATGAAACAAATACTACAAGTATAACACTTTTTGATTACAAGGTATACACTTACTTTTCATAATAGTATTTTTGTTTTATTACATTTTAATGACGTTTCTTTCTAGAATGACAAAAGCATTTGCTTCTCAGACACAGATTTAAAGCTATTGATGAAACCAGTATTTACAAACACATCTGAAATAAAAAAGCACGCTGAGAAAGTGTTATTTTTTGAATGTAATTCGGGAATCATTGATAATTATTACAAAAAACATGTCGATACTGGTTCTAAATCAATTGAACTTAAATTTCAAGATACAGACTCATTTAATGATGACATACGTAGAAGTGGAATTTCAAATTCTAGGTCAAATAATACAATCTATTCTTTTACATCTAAAACTTGTGATTCGAAATATTTGTCGGATTCTATAATAAGCAAGCTGGACAGTTTTCCAAATTTAAAGCTGAAAAATCTGCAGAGGTTTTTATGAAATTATAAATATCAAATTATAATGAAATGATTCTTGAATATTATTTTGTGTTGTATATATTTTTAGGTCGATAAATCCATCTACGGCATCAAGTATGTCTACTGCAAGTATTGTAAAAAATGAGTATCCAAACATCAATGAAGCAATCATAAAGAATGATTCGCGTATATTGCATATAAAATCAAATCAAAATTCTGTATACACCACAGATGAACATGATTTAAACTCAACGAAACAATTACAAGATACTGAATCAGAAATTAGATTATACGAGTATGTTAAACAGTTAAAGAGAATGAAGTCATCGGTAGATATACAATTGAATTGTTTAAAGAAAAGGGAGAGCACTAGGAGAAAATCAAAATCGGACGAAAATGTTACTTATGGGCTAGTATTTCCGACAGTAAGAAGTAATATAAAAAATTGTTTTTCACCTAGAAATTACTCCCTATTAACAGAAAATCTAGTTCATATCAATGAAGGTACTGAAACAACAGTAAACCAACAATTAGAAATAAATGAAACTTATGACGAACTAGGTATGCTGTTTTCTCAATATTTGAAGCATCAAGTTCAATTGTGTAAAAAAAAAGTGTGTCCTCTTTCGAGACATTTAAAGCAAAAATTCAAACACAGTACAAGACAATGCCAAAGAAAGTTTAATTATTATCAAATATATCCTTATGATCAAAGACCTGCATGCAATAGTGGAAATGTGTGCACAGACACATACGATGAATTAAAATTAATGTGCAAATCACCTTCGAAGAGACGGGATATTTATCAATGCATGTTCAAAAGGAGGAAAGAATTTTTACATCAACCATGCTCTGCACCCATCCAAAATTTTGCAATAACAAAATAGTTTTTAACATTAAAGTAATTGAATATTAAATATACAAATTGGTATTTCTTACAGATCACATTTTTTATTTTCCTTTAGTATCCTCAATTTCTTAAACATAATTTTTCTGTTGTAATGATACAGCAAACAAATAGCCATATGTATGTTTAAAAAAAATTATTTTATTTAATTAATTACATACGTTCGCTCCTTTTAACTTCTTTTACTTGAAGACCTAAAAAGAACCAATGTATTGTTAAACAACAAATAAAGGTTTTAAGTATAGTATAATATAGAATGATTGAATTGTATTAGATTGAACACAAATAGATAAATACCTGGAGGTAAAGATTGCTTTAATTTTTCTGCCTTCTCTTTATCTGTAATTACCAGGGTGTATAAAAATCTAGAGCAACGAACCTTGAACTTGACATTGTCAGCATTCTTCTTGATTTTTACAGCTACATAATAGTAACAGATAATATATCAGATATACATACAAATAATTAAGATGATACACTATAACCACTTACATTTTGCATCTTTCCTCCTGGCTTTCAAAAGAAAGTCCTTGATCTCTTTGATTTCACGTGGCTGTAAGAAGATTTTAAATTTAACACAAGTCCATACTAATTAATCATAAAAATATAAACAATTCCATTTGAATGAGCAATTAAATTGGTAAACTTGTCAACAAATTTGTCATTACTTTAAGGTTAAGTTATTTCATTTGCATGTACTTATTATAACACATTACGAATTTGCTAAAACCAATAATCTTAGAATACGAAATACAATAAAATAGTATCTAAAATAGAATATGTTAAGGTATTGATGTCAACTAATACTCACCATTATGAATTGAAGTAGTGCAAACTGGGCTACCTGGAAGATTGAAGAAAAAAAATAAATATTACTAAATTGAAAAAATATTTATATTAGATATTAAAGAATACTGCAGTGTAACGCACGTAAGTAGTTCGGAATCGAAATAAAAAGGGATTTTTCTATCAATTATGGATTTTGTAAAATGATCTGATAAAACAACACGTACCCTGTTAAGTTACCACCGGAAAAAGAGATGTCGCGTCAAATCAGCAACAGAAACTTCGAACAATTTGTACTCCTACTTTATGAAATTATAATTATGTAAATATTTTGTGTAATAATGTTAAATTACTTATTAAATCTTCTTATACCGATATCACACATTAATGCATTGATTCATTGCATTATTTTCAAGTAAAACTTAAATCGTATCATAAAGAATTTGTTTGGAACAGCTCTGGCGCCATCTATGGCAACGTGTACAATATGTACAGTACGACTAAGCTATATTATATGCAAAATAAATAAAATTTCGTACTTGTTCAATACTTTAAAATTCAAGGAACATAATTATGTTTATATATACTTTATACTTTCTCTCTCGAAGGAATAAGGATTACGATATAGCAAGAATATAGAAATATTAATTTCATATTTCTGAAAATATAAATATTATCAGAAAATATGTGTGTGTGAAACATTAATAATAAAACAAGAAATATATTATTTTCAAAAAGTTTGCTTACTCCGACGTGTATTTGTTTATTGAGCTGAATAATCATTGAATGTATGTGACATATAAACATACTGGCCGTAGAAATTACATACATGCACTGTTTAAATGTGGCGGCAAGTCTATTCGCGATGTATATGTATGTTCATATATGCATACGGAGATAAACATCCGTGTGTTGGTGCGTTTCGTCAGTCATCTTTCTAGTGTTTGCAAAGGATTGCGACGACAGAAATTAATTCACGAACAACGCGTTCACGGTTGGTTTTACCATCTACACTAGAATTTTTCGTTTCGTAGTCGAGTAACGTGATAAGTTGCTTCGCTGTGGGATAGCTTCGAGGCTTCGATAACAAATGGATAGCCCATTACCGCATATTTTAGAAAGCGCTGAATGTGATGGTTCGGGCAAACCGAAAGACAGGTTAGTGAATCTTCTGGATCAAATCGAAGAGCATGTAGAACAGCTGAGGAAGGATGCTTCTCGACTCGAAGAAGAGAAAGACATTCTCCTGACTACTTTAGACACCTTGAAGAACAATGAAATCCTGAGTGCATTGCAAGAGAGTAAGTGTTTGTATCATCTTATCTAGAATCTAGACTCTAGAAACTTCATTGACAATATTCGTGATACTTTTCGAATGATTTCGTTTATAGCTTGTTAAATTTCAAACTTCTGATGTCACAATTAATGCTATTGTCTTATCGATAGTATAGAATAATTTATATTTACATGTAGATACATTGTCTAATCATTATGCATTAACAAATACTAAATTCAATTTCAATATTAATTTTCAACCTAGCCGATAGAGAGGATATTTTGAGGTATGCAGAGAGATTGACTATGAGATGTCTGACAGTCGATGTTTTGGTGACGGTTCAGCGAGATCAAATTCAGCAAGAAGCATTACATCAGGTATGGATGATTTGTGTTTTACTCACAGGTTATCGGTTGACTCCAACTAACATAGACTAATTTTAGGTGAATGACCTGATCGATAACTTAATAATTGGTCTCCGAGACGATCCAACTATGACTCGACAACGTTGTACATCCTTTATGAATGCTTGTTCTTCGCATGGTAGTGGACTGCCAGACAAAACCTTTGAGACTGCTATTCTTGGATGTACTGTAGAGGATCAAAAACGGATAAAAAAGAGATTGCAGGGTTTATTGGATTATATTGATAAGATGCATACGATTCAACTACTTTGAAGGCATTCTTTAAACAATGTGTTTTGATAAGGCAGCAGATAAGTTTTCAAATGAGCAATTAATTCGTATTAATTGTTCTAATAGGAGGTTTGAGAATATAAAAGCTAAATAAACCAGGGTGCTTGATGGAAATTCAATGGTGATGTTTTATGGTAAATGTAGAGGACGTCATTATTTAAGAGACATGTAAACTATGTCTTCTCCACGCATACCATGATTTTCTATAATATTCAAGCCATTGTTAACTCAGCTTCTGCCCAATTTATATTTGCATATTGTAGTAGGGTGTAGTGACAAAACTGCTATCAAATTTCATGACTATTCTGACGTTTATTTGAAAACTTTTCAATGAGTATTTATGATATTACAATTCATGAAGTTATGGTCAAATGAATAGCTTTCTTACAAAATGAATGTACTGCAATATTTGCAGAGAATAATGTTTGATATCAGAATGATCTTAATTATTTGTTATTAGTAAATTGGAAATATATTTATACCTTTTGTTAAATTCTAAAATGGTGATACACACATTAGTAGAGTTACGTTCAATTTAATCTTTGTGTGGATATCGTAAATGTGTGACTGCTGGTTGGTCATGTCAATATACCCTTGTTATAACAATCTTTTTTATTACTTAAAATTATTTGTGCTTCCTATTGTTAAGAGAACTCTTACAAAAGTGTTTAAAGAAATTTAATAAAATTTCTACACTATGCTTGCTTTAAA